GTTTCTCCAAGTGAAATGTCAGCATTTGTGAAGCCATTTCAGGAAGCTGATACTTTTAGCACATAAAAGCCAGGGTTTGGCCTGAGCCCAGGCTTTTTTTTTTTTTTTTTTTACAAGAAAAAGAATAACACAAACCATCAGACATTTCCAATGTCAGAAACCTTTACTACAGCACTAGAAAATAGAGTGGGTGTGCAAGAAGACAAAGGAAACAAGGAAAACGAATGTTTTTGTCCTCGGGCTTTTTTGTAGCAACTACACTGGCTTCAGCTGGATAACAAATTGTCCTGGAATTCTTGGCCTTGGAGCAAACATGTTGGCTCCCTGGTTACGCCTTCGTCACTGCTCAAAGTACCACACACTTTAACCTTCCTGTTCTGTCCATAGGCCTGGGGTTTGTCCTGTATCCAGGAAACTTTATATGTGGTCTAAACTGAGCATCCCAGCAGGCTGCAAGGCAGATAGCAGCTCAGGATTCAAAATGTTGACCAATTCCTACCTGGATCCACACCACCAAGCTGTAACTCAGCCTGCCTGTGCAGAAATAGGAGCCCAGCCACGTGGCTAACAGCTTTTTTAACTGCTACTCTCAGCAATGAGGAACTTTCCCAGCAGACAAGATTCAGGTGGATGGTCTTCTTCAAGAGAACTAAAAAGGAAGCAACATCAAGATTGATCCAACAGATACACAGGTCCAACCAGATACTCCAGCCAATAAGCAAGCCTCCAAAGCTCAACTAAGCCAGGAGGAGATAAGGGCCAGGAGTTGCCAACCTGCTCTTGAGTCCTTGGGACCTCAGGTCACAAGCTCAGGACATCTTGCAGAGGTCTGTCTCTGTGTCACTAGATTCTCATAAAAGGTTTCATACTTCAGTCAGGAAGGAAGCCAGGACATGCCCGGGGTAGCACCTAAACTACATCATTCAAATGCCCAACACATGAAAAGAACAAGAACTCTGGCTCCACTTTCCAGGGACAAAGTATAGAGTATGATACTATTCGTGTTAAAAAAAAAAAAAAAAGGAGGGGGGGAGGTAGGAATATGTGTACGCAGAAAACATCTCCATAAGGGAACACAAGAAACTGGCAGCCTATCTCTGGGGAGGGGAACTGAGCAGTTGGGAGAAAAAGGTGGGAAGACGACTTTACCTTTGTATCTTTTGAATTTTGAACCATATGAATGTATAACCTTTCAAAGAACAAACTAAAATTTTTTAAAAATGCAGAATGCTACAATCTTGTTATAAAAAGAAAAGAAAAGAAAAGAAAAATGCTCTATAAATGTGTATGCTCAAAGAAAACATCCTGTAAGAATATTCAATTGTGAACCATAATTACTCTTAGGAAATGGGAGTAGAGGAAGGAGAAGTTCATGTTTCATTTTATACAGTCTGTATTGTTTTAATAGTTTCCAAAAGGTAGTACTACTTTTGCAATTTTTGCTTTAAAAAAAGAAGAAAAGAAGTCTTTACAAAGTGCAACCTCACTTCCAACAAGAATGCCTAAGCTCCCATAGCACTCTGTCTCATGTTACTAAATCACATCCCGTCTTGTGTTACAATTATGTGTGTCCAGGTCTCATCTCTGTTGAATGTTGGAGCGACTGCAACTGCAATCTGCCCACCACTCTGGCTCCATTTTCCAGGGACAAAACAGAAAAAGAACCAACAAGGAATAAAGCAGCAACCAAAATGCAACCAAGCAATTACACAAGGATGAAACAATCAACCAAAATAAGAGTGAACAATAATCTTATAAGTATATTAATTAGTGCAAGCGTCTTAGCAACGAGAAACCATGACCAACTTAAAAATGCACTGAAAACAAAGCATCCTTCCCAGAAATTGTGGGAATTTTGACAATATGCACTTGCATACATGTTAGGAGCTTTGCAAAACTGCCAAGCCAAGAGTAGCAGCCAAATTTCTTAGAATTCAGTAAATTCTTATCTCAGGACATGTTCTTTATTTAGGAAAATTCCTGAGGGACCTCTGAATGTGGAAAGATGAAGTTCCTTCTAGGACATGACCTGAAAGGATTTTTTTAAAAATCCTGAATTTCTCTGTACAATGAAAGAGGAAAGTTTGAGTTTCTGGGGAACATGGTGTTAGATGATCCAGAGAGACAGGACTCGATACTGGACATGAGACAGTGCTGTGGAGAAATAGCCACCGAGAAACTGAGTAATTCTGGGAGGCAAGCTGGATGTTTACATCTCAATGTTAAGCCATTTGCTCTGAAGTAATGTAACTTCTCGCTGCTGCCTCTAAGACTGTCCCATATTACCACTGACGGGTGTGTGTGGGGGGATAACCCAGAATGGAGCAAATGGGGTGGAAGGATCCCTTAAGTCCATAATTCTCAATAACACTCTTTCTAAAACCCTCAACATGGGGCCAGATTTATTCTCCTGCTTGAAACAACCACAAACAAAAAACAGACAAGCTATATGAAAAAATGATACCAGATGGGAATGTATGAATGAGTGAACTGTTAGAGGAGGACTGCTGATACCAGTAGAAAGAAAAGCTACACAGGACAGACACAGAGAAGGGATCAAGAGAAGAGCAGAAGTGAAAAAGCCAGAGCAAGAAGTGACCAGAAAAAAATGAAAGCCCTATGAACCCACAAGAAATAAAAAGACCAGGGTAGAACTGGATTTCTCACAGTACAAGGGATGGACCTGTCTCTGTGGCTGATACTTGGGTGCCCTCCATAACTCTCCTTCTCTCACTCTCCACCTCCAATCTGTTAGCAAGTCTTGTCAGTTATGACTTCAAAATACCTTCAAAATCCAACCATTTTTCATGACATCCACTGCTACCACCCTAGCCCAAGCCACTATCAGCTCTCACCTGTACAACAACCAAGAACCTCTTTACCTTCCCAATTACAATCTCACATGCTTCCAACCCACCTGTCTGTTCTCCACACAACAGTCAGGGCAACACTTATCACCTGACAGAAGGCTTATTGTCTACCTCCCCTACTAAAATATAAGTTCCAAGAAAGCAAAATCTTTGCTGCTCATTGCTGTAATCCCATAGACAAGAACAGTGTCAAGGTATATTGTCATTCTTCAATGTCCACGAAGGATTGGTTCCAGAATCCCCCCACATCCAGCTATCAAAATCTGTGGATACTCAAGTCCCTTATATAAAATGTTGTAGTATTTATATATACCCTATGCACATCCTCCCGTATACTGTAAATCATCTCTAGATTACTTATAATACCTAATACAGTGTAAATGCTATGTAAATAGTTATTATGTTGTATTGTTTAGGGAATAATGACAAGAAAAAAAGCATGTACATATTTAGTACAGACATAAATATCCTTTTTTTCCCCCCAAATATTTTCCATCCAAGGTAGACTGAATCCATGAATGTGGAATCCACGGATATGGAAAGCCAACTGTAGAATTAGCACCAAATAAGTATTTATTAAATGAACTAAATAAGTGGTTATGAAACTGTATACCACATACCTCTAAGAAATGAATAAGTGAAATGCATTTTCCATCACTTTGTGGGAGCTCAGCAGGACCAGGGATCTGAAAATCATACTGTGAGAAACATTATGCTTTGTCACCTACTACTGAATCTACAATGGCTTGTATATATTAAATAATAACAGCTTCATAAATGCTCACTGAATAAAAAAATAAAATAAGTTTCATGTCATATATAATACCTGGGACTGGCCTGGGCAGAACATGGATGCTTTTGTATCTCCTGGCACAGGAGTAGACAGATGACTGATAGAGCAGATATTCAAAAATAATGTGAAGTCTAAAAGGAAATATATTATTTAACAAGGACCTAAGCCAATTCTTTGTCAGCCACAGGAAACACAAAAATGACTATAATAATTCTTATCTTCAGGAATTTATAGACCTGCAACTCTATTAATTTATACATAAGTTCAAGGCTGGGCGCGGTGGCTCACGCCTATAATCCTAGCTCTCTGGGAGGCCGAGGCGGGCGGATTGTTTGAGCTCAGGAGTTCGAAACCAGCCTGAGCAAGAGCGAGATCCCGTCTCTACTAAAATTAGAAAGAAATTAATTGGACAACTAAAAATATATAGAAAAAATAAGCCAAGCATGGTGGTGCATGCCTGTAGTCCCAGCTACTCGGGAGGCTGAGGCAGGAGGATCGCTTGAGCCCAGGAGTTTGAGGTTGCTGTGAGCTAGGATGACGCCACGGCACTCTAGCCCGGGCAACAGAGTGAGACTCTGTCTCAAAAAAAAAAAAAATAAAATAAGTTCAAGTAACTCAATATGGTATAATTGTTCTACTAGATACGTACAAGAAGTATTTGGGAGGCACAAAGAAGTGACCATTCTTACCGAAGGAGGTCAGATGGTCAGAGAAAGATTTCTAAAACAGATTTTTCTTGAATTGAGTCTTGCAAAGAATAATTTACCAGATGAGAAAAAGCTCATTTAGGGAAGACACGGTCTGTGCAAAGGCATAACATATATGATTAGGTGGTTATTAAGGAGTTAAAATATAGAAGGATATTTTGACACAAGAGAGACAAAAGTCACAAAGCACTTTTCTTTAAGGAAAGAGCCTATGCTTTTCAAAGTTCCTGGACTTACCTTTTAAACTACCCATTTCTCCCACAAGATGTGAGCTCCAAAAGGGCTTGACAAATTTACATATATCAAATAATAAAATCAGGGAGGGGAAGACAAAACATATTTATTCTAGGCCAGGTCTTAAAATGTACCTGCATCGTTCCCTGTTATCATCAGTACCAAAAAGGGAAGAATATGCCTTAACAGCAGCTCCGCCCAAAGCTTGGCAAATGGCTGCTATGAGGGTCCCCATGAGTCCATACAGTCTTCCCCCTCCTCACTGGTGTAGTCAAAGAGGTTTTCTACCCTCCTAGCCAAGGGCTCCTTAACTATAAATTCACTGTTCACAGAGAAGAAGAAAGAATCTGATGTATTGATTGTTCTTCATTTAAACCATGACTTAATCCCTATCTCAGGATTTAACAATCTTTATTTTCTAATTAAAATTTTACAAAAGGGAGGGGGGCAAGAGGAGAGATTACACTGTGTTGATATTGAGACTTTAAATTCTAGTCAGAGTTAAGACCCATATTAAATGCCAACTGATAGCCTAAAAGGAAATAACTACGTGGAGTCTAATCGAGACATACATGAGTCTCATGATTAGCCTCAATGATGTAAGAAAATAATTCGCAATAACATTGGAGTCCATGGTTCTCAAGTATGCTCTCTTGGGCACGGGTAGGTGAAAGTCGGGAGAAATGGGTTCTCTCCATGCCCGGTGACAAAGACGGCTCCTGGTTTGATGTAAAAGCAAGTCCTGTTGCCAGGTGCTGTCTGCAGCTCACAACTGAGTTTAGCAGTGGAATCGAGTGGAGAACTTGGGAGATACAGGCACAGTCAGAGGCTGGTCACTTGACTTTACCTCCACACCCTGGTACTTTCGTATTGGATTTGCCTTATGCACCTGTAGGGTAAGGAAAATAAAGTTACCACTGAGAAGGACGTTAGAGAACTATGCTCATGGTTTATTTTTTCTTTTTGAGAGGATGTTTGTATAGTTTTATAGATCTTAGTCACTACTTTAAAGGTGGGGGGGAGGTGAAGGGAAGCAACACAGTATAGTGGAAAAGCGCATGACTTTAGACCCCAAATAAGTTTCCATTCGGGTCTTTATTGGGTCCCTCAGCTTTCACTAAAAAATGTCATACCTATTTCCAGTGTGATTTACTAGGATATAATACAGCTGTACTTAATTGTAAGTGGAAAACAGTTAAGAATTTGCTAGAGTATAATCTTAAACTTACTCTTTATTTTACTTAATTTTTTAACTTTTCTTGCCATTTGATGTTGCAATAATAACTGACTCTTAATATTCACCAAAAGTATGAACAAAAAAAAAAAAGAGGTGGGAGGGACCCAACCAGGAAGGGTTGCTGGAGAAGTCCTGGTCTCATCTATCGTTTTGGGTGGTCTGAAATCAATCCCAAATCAAGCCAGATTAGTAGAGAGCTAGCCAGCATTGACTGAATTGTGCTTTAGAATGTTCCTGTTGGCCTACATTGAGAATTGCTGTAAGAAACAGTTCTATAATGGGGACAAACACGAGAGGCAGGTACCAAGTGTTGAAAAAAAGTCAAAGTTGAGGCCACAAAAAAGGCTGTTTTATGAGTGTTATCTGGAGTGGGGATTGTGCTGTTTTCTCATTCAATCAGCAAGTAGTAGTTTGGATTTTGCCAAGAGGTTAGTCTCTTGAACAGTTTGTAGAGCCTTCCTGTGGGCATGGCCACCTAAGCCCACAGCTGTTTCAACAGCTAGCCTAGCACTTTTAGACAAAACCTCAACAACGTACATATTCTTTTGTTTTTAATTGACAGGTAACATTGTATGTTTTTATTGTCTTCCACCTGATGTTTTGAAGTACATATACATTGTGGAATGGTTAAATCTAGTTAATTAACAAAGGCATTACCTCACATAGTTATCATTTTTGTGGTAAGAGCACATAACATCCACTCTTTATATTTTTCAAGAATATATCCTCATCGACTATAGTCACCTTGCTGTATGATAGATCTCTTGAAACTTATTCCTCCTCTCTAACTGTAATTATGTATCCTTTGACCAACATCTCCCCATCTCCCCCTTTATACTTCTTTATTCATCCTTTTATTAATCATATGAAGTTCCATCTAAAACTGTCTTCTTGGGGCCAGGCGCGGTGGCTCACACCTGTAATCCTCGCTCTCTGGGAGGCCGAGGCGGGCGGATCGTTTGAGCTCAGGAGTTCAAAACCAGCCTGAGCAAGAGCGAGACCCCGTCTCTACTAAAAATAGAAAGAAATTAATCGGACAACTAAAAATATATAGAAAAAATTAGCCGGGCATGGTGGCACATGCTTGTAGTCCCAGCTACTCGGGAGGCTGAGGCAGGAGGATCGCTCGAGCCCAGGAGTTTGAGGTTGCTGTGAGCTAGGACGCCATGGCACTCTAGCCCGGGCAAAAGAGTGAGACTCTGTCTCAAAAAAATAAATAAATAAATAAAATAAAACTGTCTTCTTCTTCATTAATGCAGGTAACACAACCTGCTGCCCTCCCAACAAAGTGGTCTTAATGTGAATTAAGGTTTCTTTTTGAATAACTAATATCTAAAGCATTATACTAGTGGTAGCATGGATGATCACCTGGACTGATATGCATTTTAATTCCAGAGTCTGGGCCAAGCATCAAGAGGAAAACAAAAATATAGTTGCCATGTAATTCCCATGTCCTTTCCTATGTATTCTTGTCTAATTGTAAAGCCCAGAAGGAAATCATAAAAATAAGTTAAATAAAATAAACAAATAAAAAAGAGTCCTAGGAAATGCATCGCTGTGCACGGTTATACCACGGTCTCCTTATGAAGACCCCTGGTCTACATTCAATAAAGAATAAACATATTTTTTGAACAATTGACTTGTTTATGTCTCACAAACATTGTGAGTTTTGTAACCAACAGGTTGGTTCCTAAAATGGGCCAAAATTATGGCTCATACTTAGATCATAATTTACACATCTTTAGCCTTATTCACATCTTAACTTTATTACCACTCTAGTTTGTGTGATTTCTCCCTTGTCTTTCTTTGATATAGCCTACCACCTTAGATCCTGTCTGTAACAAGGCAAGGTACAGATAAAACAAAACAAAGACAACTTTGGGTTAGTCATATGTTCAAGTTGCCCAATTACCAGTTCTTTCCGTAGCCTGGCTAGCTCCTCCTTCTTCTGCTCTTCCTCCTGCTGCCTGGCCTCCTCCAACTGCTGGGCTTTCTGGGCTTCAACCTCAGCCATTCTTTTCTCCAGCTCCTGCCGCTCCTTAGCTCTTTTCTCAGTAGCCAGCTGAAAAGGTTCCTGAACTAGAGAACCAGAAAGGCCCTCTGAGTACAGAAACAGAGAGAATGTTGGTACATGACCAAGACTTGTATAAAAAGCTAGCCCCCATGAATTGAGCAAGTGGCACAGACATGCACGGCAACAAAAAGGTTGAGCTCTAAGGATGCCCCAATGGGAGAAAGGTGGAATAAAACACATACAAAAAGTCCCAGAATTTTAAGAGTTGGAAGGGCCCCTAGAAAACATCTAGAGTTATTGGGAAAAAAACCAAGACCAACAGAAGTGAAGTAGCTTGCTCAAAACTAGAATCATTTTGAGAGAGATACAGGAGAAGAATCCCAATTTTTTAACACATTGCCCACTGCTTAAGGAATCATATGTTTTGTATCTAAGGCTTGCTTCACAGCAAACTTCAGAAAGACATCCTGGCTCTCCCTTTCCTCATTTACTTGCTACTCTTTAGGTGGGGAAAGCCTATAACTGTTGTTGAAATACCAGCTGCTTCTGCCAAGGTTCATGTTAAATGAATCTGGCCTTAACAAATTCTGCAACTCAGTACAACTGGTAAGTTCAACAAATTCAAAAGACTGGGTCTAGGGAAAGAAAAGCTACCAGCCTCTAAAGTCAAATGCTTCTGGTTGACACAGCATTGTACCGACACACTGAATCCCAGCACACCCCTGGGAAATCTGACAATTCTGCCCCAGTCCCCTAAGAGTACATATAATATACCTGTAACTGATTTTTTCTCTTTCTTGGGAACAAAGGGCTCCTGGGCGATGACGGTGTTTGGACGAGCCTTGAAGCAAGCTGCTTCTTTCTGCTGTTTCAGTTCTTCCTCTAGCTGTAAGACAGAAAGTCTGTCAGATAAATTATCACACAACTTTCCACATAACTACCACCTCAGTAATTTAAGTTCTAATGATTCTGAATGGCTTCATCAATAAAGATAGCAAATGATTTAATATAAACCCTAGTTAAAACCCCTCACGCAAACTTTGTAATGAATAGATCAGTCTGACGATATCTGAACCCACTGAGAACTAGAAAGTATCTTTAAGATACTTTCAAGGCTTATCTTAATATCACAAAAATAAACAACTAGACATTATATGCCTCCGGATGTAACTCATTAGGAACTATACAATTTTACCTAAAGTATTTTCCTTGCCACCCCCAAAAATATCTAACCAGAAGTTAATCAAGCCTTTAGATCTAACTACTCATTTATAGGAAATAAAGGCGATAGAAGAACATGTTAAATAACACCATGGGAATATAATCAGCAAAATTTAGATTGTAGAAAATCTACAGGACAAACAATCCACTTTATTCAATAAATAAAATGCAAAGAGAGGACCCTATAGATCAAAGGAGATTTAAAGATTTATCAAATAAATGCACAATGCAGACCTTATTTGGATATTGATATGAATAATTTAACTCTTTAAAAAAATTATGAAAAATCTGGGGATATTTGAATGCTGACTATTTGCCACTATTAAAGGGCTATTGTTAGTCTTTTTAAGCATGGTAATATTATTGTGGTTTTGTTTTAAGTTGTTATATTTTAAATATACACACTGAAGTATTTTTAGATGAAAAGAGATGCTGCCTGATTTACTTCAAAGTAATCAATCTTGTGTAGGTAGAAGTATCTAGTACAGGGGTAACTAGGTAGATGTATGGATGAAAGAAGAGTTTCCATGTTTTGATCATTACAGAACTAGATAATGGGTTCATGGAAGTTCATTATATTATTTGTTCTACTTCTGTATGTTATGTGAAAAACTTAAAAAAATTTTTTATTATGGAAAATGCCCCACACAGACATTCTGTGTGTTGGTCATTGAGTAGGGGAGATTCACTACTGCTTCCAAAGCAACAGTCCTGAGGTTTCCCAGAGAACACCACCAACAGGGGACCTACATTCAGTCATGCAAGCAGTCGCATCTCTTGGGCTTCAAGAGGGGTGATTCCTACAAAGAAAGATTAGCCCAGAGCTCCTTTTGGACAAAAGTCCAGGAGAAGTAATAACACAAAAATCCCAAAAACCTTAAAAATTCAAGGCAATTTTTTTTCCAGCTGGGCAGAATCAGATCCCAATTAAACCAGACAATAATCAATTACTTGTTTTTAATCACCTGTCATCTATAAAGAGCAATTAGCACACCATACTGAAAAAATAGCATATCGCATTGAAATCTATTCTCCCATACTGGTTTCTTAGCAAAGCACTAACAGAAAGGAGTAAACACTAAATGAATGAGTCTAATACATGGAATACGTGAGACCCCTGACTCAATAAAAGCCATCGGTTCTCACATTCCCCAGGTGATCACTAAGAGCAGGGGTGAGCAAACTTTGGCCTAAAGGCCAAATCAAGCTTGCAACCTGATTTTGCACAGCCCTTGAATAAAGAATGGTTTTTACATTTTCAAAGGGTTAAACAAACACACACACACACACACACACACACACAGAGACAGAGACATATGTGACAGAGACCATATGTAACCGATAAAACCTAAAATATTTACTACTGGCCCTTTACAGAAATAATGTACTAACTCCTGATTGATAGTGAAAGCCCCTGAAATATTCCAGTATGTTATCCCAGATGATTTCAGTGTAGTGGGTGTGCCTGTCTAACTAACCAACCAAGCAATTAACATTTTGGCTGCTCTCCTCAACCCCTACCTGGTGCTTCCAAATCTGTGCCTTCACAGCACCTCTTTTGTCAGTCTCCAAGCAGAAAGGCTCACTCTGGGTCACATTCTTTACCTTCTTCTCTGGCAGGTTAACGGTATCAAAATAAGGCAAGGGAAGTGCCTTGAACTTGGGCACCTAATGGAAAAAAAATATGAGATTTAAGATAAAGACATCTCTCACCAGAAAACAACAGATGATCCAGAATACCTAGATGGATTTGAAAAATAGGGAAGCCCAACCAGTATTCAAAGCAGCATGGTCTAGCAGAAAAGACCAATGGGCTCAAAAGGAAATCTAGGTTTTCCTCCCTTCATTGCCAGTAACTCCAGTATAATCAGAGGGAAGTCACTTAACCTCCTTGGGCCAGAAGTATTAAATTGCTTGCCCCATTTATATTTTATAGGGTTCTTAGAGGGATCAAAGGAAGTTAGTGATTTTACAGTTAAAAGTGCTACAGAAAAGATCATCTTTGAGGGATCAAAGAATAGTATTATGCGACATGTAGAGATGGAAACACCTACCTCCCCTTTCTGCAGTTCTTTTATTTTCTTCTCCTTCTGTAACTGACGTTCTTTGTCTCGAGAATCAAAGGAGAAAGGGCACATCACAGTTCTTGCCTCTATGTTTTGGGGCTTAAAAGGCACCCCATAATGTGGTACAGGTTGAGCTCTTATCACTACCGGTTCATCCTCTTCCTAAGTAAAAAATTACAGTTTAGAAATAAGACTTCTCAATCCAAAGAAAATCCAAAAGTAAGAAGCAAAAACTGCTCCAGATAAAAAGAAATCAGCAAAAGATCTCCAGATACATGAAAAAGCAGAATGAAAGGACACTCCCAAAAGAAAACAATAACTCTGTACCAATGGAAACCAATCAAAACAAGAATACTGAAACAACTGATAAAGAATTTCAAATATGGATTGTAAGGAAGCTCAATGAAATACAAGAGAAAATAGAAACCCAACACAAAGAACCACAAAAACAGGGAAATGAATGGAAAATTCACTAAAGAAATTGAATTATTCCACCTGGGAATACTGGGTGCTGTAGGCTTTTCTATTATTTTTTGATTTATTTTTTTATATTTTTATTTTTTTTAATAAAAAAAGTAAAATAAATCGAATTATTAAAAATAAATCAAGCAGAGCTTCTGGAAATGAAAAATTCCTTCAAGGAAATACAAAACACACTGGAAAGCCTTAAGAATAAGCTAGATCAGGCAGAAAAAAAGAATTGCAGAGCTAGAAGACAACACCTTTGAATTAAACAAGTCAGTCAAAGAGAAAGAACGGGCCGGGTGCAGTAGCTCACACTTGTAATCCTCAGCCTCTGGGAGGCTGAGGCAGGAGGATAGCTTGAGCTCAAGAGTTTGAGGCTAGCCTGAGCAAGAGTGAGATCCCATCTCTATGAAAAATAGAAAAAAAAAAGCCGGCATGGTGGCACGTGCCTGTAGTCCCAGCTACTCAGGAGGCTGAGGCAGGAGGATCGCTTGAGCCCAGGACTTTGAGGTTGCAGCGAGCTATGATGATGTCACTGCACTCTAGCCCAGGCAACAGGGCGTGACTCTGTCTCAAAAATAAACAAAATATATATTTAAAAAAAGAGAAAACACAGAAATAAGAGGAACGAAAAAAGCCTACAAGTAATATGGGATTATGTAAAGAGGCATAACATAAGAATCATAGGCATCCCTGAGGGTGAAGAAGAAAATGCACAATGGCTGAAAAACCTATTTGAGGGAATACTTGAGGAAAATCTCCCAGGTCTTGCTAGAAATCAGGACATCCAAGTACTACAAGTGCAACAGACTCCTGGGAGATTCATCGCCAAAAGGCAATCACAATATATAGTCATCAGACTGGCCAAAGTTAATATAAAAGAGGAACTCCTATGAACTGTAAGGCAAAAGCATCAGGTAACTTACAAAGGAAAACCCATCAGACTAACTGCAGACTTCTCAACTGAGACCTCACAAGCCAGAAGGGACCCATTCTCAGTCTTCTCAAACATAATAATGGTCAGCCTATAATTTTGTATTCTGCAAAACTAAGTTTCTTATATGAGGGAGAAATATAGACTTTCTCAGACAAGTGAATGCCAAGGGAATTTGTCAAGATCAGACCTGCTCTGCAAGAAGTACTCAGATCTGCATTATACACTGATCAGCACAACAGGCACCCACCAGTGTAAAACCATCCAAATGCTAAAGTTCAGAGCTCAGTTACCACAATGGCTTGAGAGTTAAAACAAAGCAATAAAGTTCTACACAACAGGATGAACAGAAATCCACCCCACTTATCAATTCTTCCAATAAATGTGGATGGTTTGAACTCCCCACTGAAGAGACACAAACTGACTAAATTGATAAAAAAACATGGCAAGTATCTGCTGTCTCTAAGAAACACATCTAACCAAGAAGGATTCATTCCGAGTCAAGGTGAAGGGATAGAAAACAATATTCCATGCAAATGGAAATCAAAAGGAAGCTGGTGTAGCCATTCTCATATCAGATAACATAGACTTCAAATCAACAAAAGTAAAGAAAGACAAAAGACAGTCATTATATAATGGTGAAGGGAACAATTCACCAAGACATAACAATCTGAAGTATCTATGCACCTAACAGAGATGCACCCAGATTAGTAAAGCAAATCCAACTTGATGTAAACAAAATGATAAACAACAGTATTGTAACAGCTGGAGACCTAAACACCGCACAGACAGAATGGGACAGATCCTCCAAGCAGAAAATAAAGAAAGAAAGAATGGACTTACACAAGACTCTAGAACAAATGGGCCTAACAGACATTTACAGAACATTCTACCCCAAAACTACTCAATATACCTTCTTCTCATCAGCTCATGGAACATTCCCTAAGATTGATCACATCCTAGGCCACAAGACATGTCTCAACAAATTTAGAAAAACAGAAATTATACCCTATATCTTCTCAAACCACAGTGGAATAAAACTAGAAATCAATTCCAACAGAAACACTCAACTCTACACAAAGTCATGGAAATTAAATAATCAATCTACTGCTGAACAATTATTAAGTCAAAGAGGAAATTAAGATGGAAATCAAAAGATTCTTCGAATTAAATGGTGAAGGGGACACAAGTTACCAAAATCTGTGGGATTTTGCAAAAGCAGTCCCAAGAGGAAAATTCATAGCCTTAAATGCCTATGTCCAAAAGACAGAAAGATCACAAATCAACAATCTAATGAATCGTCTCAAGGAATTGGAAAAGGAAGAACCAATCCCAAACCTAGCAGAAGAAAAGAAATAACTAAGGTCAGAGTAGAGCAAAATGAAATTGATTCCAAAAGAATTATACAGCAGATTAATAAAACAAAGAGTTGGTTCTTTGCTAAATTAACCAGAAACAGAAAAGAAAGGACCCTAATAAGCTCAATCAGAAATGAAAAAGGAGATATTACAACTCATTCCACAGAAATATACAATATCATCTCTGAATACTATAAAAATCTCTATGCACATAAACTGGAAAACATTGAGGAAATGAACAAATTCTTAGAAACACACGACCTCCCTAGGAATAATCAGGAAGAAACAGAACTCCTGAACAGACCAATATCAAGTAATGAAATTGAAGCAGCAATAAAAAAATCTCCCAACAAAAAAAGTCCTGGACTGATGGTTTCACAGCTGTATTTTACCAGGCCTACAAAGAAGAACTAGTACCCATACTGCAAAAATTATTTCATAACATTGAGAAGGAAGGAATCCTCCCCAACTTGTTCTACAAAGCCAATATCACCTTGATACCAAAGCCAGGAAAGGACACAACAAAAAACGAAAACTACAGACAAATATCCCTTATGAATACAGATGCAAAATTTTTCAGCAAAATCCTAGCACACGAAATTCAGCTGCACATCAAAAAAATAATCCACCAAGACCAGGTGGGCTTCCTCCCAGAGATGCAAATGTGATTCACCACATAAAAAGAAGCAAAAACAAAGACCATATGATCCTCTTGATAGAGGCAGAAAAAGCATTTGACAAAATTCAGCACCCCTTTATGATAAGAATTCTTAACAAAATAGGCATACATGGAACATACCTCAAAATTATAAAAGTCACGGGGGGAGGGGGAGGAGGGGACGGGTATATGCATACACAAAGAGTGCAATGCTCACCATCCGAGAGATGGACACGCTTGAAACTCGGACTTGGGGGGGAGGGGGGCAAGGGCAACATACGTAACCTAAACATCTGTGCCCCTGTAATATGCTGAAATAAAAAAAAAAATTATAGAAGTCATGTATGAAAAACCCACAGCCAACATCATACTGAATGGGGAAAAATTGAGAGCATTCAGAACTGGAACCAGACAAGGTTGCCCAATGTCACCACTTCTGTTCAATATAGTGCTGGGAGTCCTAGCCAGAGCAATCAGGCAAGAAAAGGAAATCAAGGGTATCCAAACGGGGAAAGAAGAGGTAAAACTATCACTCTATGCTGATGATATGATCTTGTATCTAGAAAAGCCAAAGATTCTGCCACAAGACTCCTGGAATTTATAAATAAATTCAGCAAAGTCTCAGGTTACAAAATCAATGTACACAAATCAGTAGCATTCCTGTACACCAGCAACAGTTAAGCTGACAATCAAATCAAAGACTCAATACTTTCATAACAGCAACAAAGAAAATAAAATACCTAGGGATATATTTAACCAAAGAGGTGAAAGACCTCTAAGGGAGAACCATGAAACACTGAGGAAGGAAATTGCAAAGGATGTAAACAAATGGAAAAACATATCATGCTCGTGGATCAGCAGAATCAACACTGTTAAATGTCTATACTACCCAAAGTGATTTAAACATTCAATGCAATTCCCATTAAAATACCAATGTCATTTCTCACGATCTAGAAAAAATAATGCTACGCTTCATATGGAACCAGAAAAGACCCTGTTATAGCCAAAACAACCTTAAGCAAACAGAAAAAATTAGGAGGCATCAATTTATCAGACTTCAAGCTATACTACAAGACTATAGTAACCAAAGAGTATGGTACTGGCACAAGAACAGAGACATATATAGACCAATGGATCAGAACAGAGAACCCAGATGCAAAATCATCCTCATATTGCCATTTGATCTTTGGCAAAGTAGAAAAAAACATACACTGGGGAAAAGAATCCCTACTCAATAAATGGTGCTGGGAAAATTGGATAGCTACATGTAGAAGACTGAAACAGGATCTGCACCTCTCACCACTCACAAAAATTAATTTACGATGGATAACAGACTTAAACCTAAGGTATGAAACTGTAAGAATTCTAGAAGAAAATGTCGGAAAAACTCTTATAGACATTGGCCTGGCAAAGAATTTATGAAGAAGACTCCCAAAGCAATCATAGCAAAAACAAAAATAAATAAATGGGACCTGATCAAATTAAAAAGCTTTTGCACAGCCAAGGAAACAATCAATAGAGCAAACAGACAACCTACAGAATGGGAGAAAATATTTGCATGCTATACATCCAATAAAGGGCTGATAACTAGAATCTACAAAGAACTCAAGTAATTCAGCAAGAAAAAAGTCAAACAACCCCATTAAAAAGTGGGCAAAATCCATGAAAAGAAACTTTTCAAAAGCAGATAGACTAATGGCCAACAAACATATGAAAAAATGTTCAACATCTCTAATCCTCAGGGAGATGCAAATCAAAACCATAATGAGATATCACCTAACTCCAGTGAGAATGGCTTTTATCAGAAAGTCCCAAAACAACAAATGCTGGTACGGATGCAGAAAGATAGGAATACTCAGACATTGTTAGTGGGACTGCCAACCAGTACAACCTCTGTGGAAAGTAGTATGGAGATACCTCAAGGAACTAAAAGTGGACCTACCATTTGATCCAGCAATCCCACTGCTGGGTATTTACCCAAAGGAAAAAAAGACATTTCGTAAAAAAGACGTCTGCACCTGAATGGTTTATAGCAGCACATTCACAATTGCAAAGATGTGGAAACAACCCAAGTGCCCATCAATACATGTGTAGATTAATAAAATGTGTATGTATACCATGGAGTACTACTCAGCCATAGAAAAAAAATGGTGAACTAATACTTTTTGTATTAACCTTGGTGGAACTGGAGACCATTTTTCTAAGTGAAGTATCACAAGAATGGAAAAACAAACACATGTACTCACCATTAAATTGAAACTAATCGATCAACACTTATGTGCACATATGGAAATACTCCTCATTGGAAATAAAGCAGGTGGGAGAGGGGAGAAGGGGATGGGTAAATTCACACTTAATGGGTACAATAACTTTGACTCAAACTGTACAAAAGCAATTTATGTAACCCAAACGTTTGTACCCCCATAATATTCTGGAAAAAAAAAAGAAAGACTTCTCATTTTCTCCCACCTCCTTAGAATGTCAAATCAGAAGATATATGCAGCAAGTCATTAATTAAGGCAACTCACTCAACCTCCTAGGTGTCTTAGCTTCCTTTTCTATCAAAGAGGGATGATACCTAAGTGATCTACCACCTCACAGGGGTGAGATCCATGTGAAGGCATTTGGTAATGGACTAACACAATTATTTTTAAAAGATCTAGGCTAGGTGTGGTGGCTCACGCCTGTAATTCTAGCACTCTGGGAGGCTGCGGCAGGAAGATCACTTGAGGTCGGGAGTTCGAGATCAGCTTGAGCAACAGCAAGACCCCGTCTCTACTAAAAATAGAAAAAATTAGCCGGGCATGCTGGCATGTGCTTGTAGTCCCAGCTACTCGGGAGGCTGAGGCAGGAGGATCACTTGAGCCCAGGAGTTTGAGGTTGCTGTGAGCTAGGCTGACACCATGGCATTCTAGCCCAGGCAACAAAGTGAGACTCTATCTCAAAAAAAAAATTTAAAAATTAAAAATAAAAGATCTGAAGTTTTTCACAGGAATATTGTAAAAACTAAATGAGATCAAGTATAGGGTGTCCTGTACTTTGGAAAAATTTTGTAAAATTTTGTAATGAACATTTTGCAAATAAAAGTACATTTAGCTACAATTTACCATTTTCCCTGTGTATGTCAACTTTTGGAACACCCTGTAGTATGAATAAAATGAAGATCAGAAGATAGGTCCCAACCAAGCATATACCTTAGCCTCTTCTTTCATGCTGCCTCCAGAGTCCACTACAACATGTGACTGGGACTTAATGGTTGCCAAACCCAGAATAGGACCAAGTAAGTTGTTTGGGTTCAAGCTGGTAACACAAGATTACTGTGTATTTTAGTTTCAAATGAACCTATAAAAAGGCGTATGCCTGAGATCTGCTATAAAATTACCCTAACTCTGGATATTTATAGATAAAATGGGAGATGTAACAAGAAACTAGCATGATCAATGCCAGTTTATGTATTACAATTCCATGAACCATCACCACACAGTCCACCTTAGCAATTCCTGGGTTAATGGAGATAGGACAAGGTGGATGTAACTACTTCGTATGAATTTTAAAAGTCCCTCACTGAATAGTGACAATAACTAAGGCAAAATAAAGTGCAGAGCTTGGCAATTTTTTTTTTTTTTTTTTGAAACAGAGTCTCACTCTGTCACCACAGGCCAGAGTGCAATGGCATCATCATAGCTCACTACTTCAAACTCCTGGGCTCAAGTGATTCTCCTGCCTCAGCCTCCCAAGTAGTTGGGACTACAGAGGTATACCACCACTCCCAGCTAATTTTTTCTATTTTTTTGTAAAGACAGGGTCTCGCTCTTGGTCAGTATGGTCTTGAACTCTTGGCCTCAAGCAATCCTTCTGCCTTGGCCTCCCAGTGTGCTAGGATTATAGGTGTGAGCCACTGTGCCTGGTCCCAGGTTGGCAACTTTTGATCCATGTTACAAAGGTAATTTTCAATGCTACAGAAACAGACAATCCTCCAATGCCTAACTTTTCCTCACTGTTTCCATAAATTGTAACTAGTTCTCACTGAGAGCCAGAAGACTCATACCCTTACCAACTACTTTGTTCTTGGAGGAGCAAAATAAAGATGATCAAATGTTCTTACTCATGCTTAAAGACAACTCCAGACAAGACTGGTTACCTTTAAACTCCATTAAGTTTAAGAAATAGTAAGGCTTAGACTGGATATGCAGAAGGAAAAAGAAACCCCCCACCCCCAGGGAATCACCTCATCTCCTTTTGTGGGTATTCGGATTCTATTCTTCAATGCGAAGGCTGGTGATTTGGGGACAGTGATTGGAAGGACCTTCTTTTCAGGAACACCCTGGAAGGAGTAAGCAAATCAATTATACATCCCAGAAGAACTTCTACTAGGCTGAGAAGATTAAATTCCTTTCCTAAAGAAAAGTTCATGTATCGGGAATCAAAAAAGTCCACTATTTTATTATGTTGTTCACCCAAAACAAAGTCATATCTGGTATGTGGTAGTACTCCAAAAGTGGATTATTATAACATCATGACAGAAGAGCAGCAAATAACAAGGACATAGGTACAGGTGTATACCCAGTAAAAATATGATTCATCAAAAATATTTTATTCTCTTCCTCTTTTTTTAAGACAGGATTTTGTTCTGTTGCCCAGGCTAGAGTATAGGGGGACAATCATAGCTCACTGCAACCTTAAACTCCTGGACTCAAGTGATCCTCCTGCCTTAGCCTTCTGTGTAGCTGGGACTATAGGCACATGCCACCATGCCCAGCTAATTTTTTAGTTTTTGTAGAAATGGGGTCTTGCCATGTTGCCCAGGGTGATCTTGAACTCCTAGCCTCAAGCAATCTTCCCACCTTGGTTTCTCTTCCTATCCCCAATCCCTTGAAAACAAAATATTTTAAAAAGACTTCTAAATGTGCCTATGGTCAGAACACATTCTGTCCATTCTCTTAAACCTATTCCATATATAGCTCTACAATGAGAACTTATGTTTACAAACGGTACCTTCAAAGGGCAAATGGGGAAATGTACTGGGCGAAGGGCTAGTTTAATTTATGTTTGCCAAGTAAATGGCCAAAGAACAAGAACAACCAGTTCACAAAGATATAGCAGAGGCTCAATCTCATTAGTAATTTTTAAAAACATAAATTAAGACAAGATCTTTTTTACCTACAAGACTGAGTAATATTTAAAAGACCAATTAATACCAGTATTGGCATGTATGAAGAAAAGTGAGTACTCACATACAGTTGGGTAAAAGTAAGGATATAAACTGGCTTAACCTTTTGAGAATTGTCTATTAAATTTCTAAATGGTCATACTCTTTCACCCATTATAAAACTTCTAGTATTTGATCTCTTTTAGTTTAGTTTTGAGTTACACGTCCAATACCACATTTTTCAAAAGAGTAAAAAATTATAAGTAACTCAGTTATTTATCAAGAAAAGATCTATTAAATCCTTTGGCACATAGTGGTACAGCCACACAATAGAATATTATACAGCCATCAAAAATAAAATAAATGGGCCGGGCGCGGTAACTCACGCCTGTAATCCTAGCTCTCTGGGAGGCCGAGGCGGGCGGACTGTTTGAGCTCAGGAGTTCGAAACCAGCCTGCGCAAGAGCGAGACCCCGTCTCTACTAAAAATAGAAAGAAATTAATCGGACAACTAAAAATATATAGAAAAAATTAGCTGGGCATGGTGGCGCATGCCTGTAGTCCCAGCTACTCGGGAGGCTGAGACAGGAGGATCGCTTGAGCCCAGGAGTTTGAGGTTGCTGTGAGCTAGGCTGATGCCACGGCACTCACTCTAGCCTGGGCAAAAGAGTGAGACTCTGTCTCAAAAAAAAAAAAAAAAATTCTGGTACCCTGCCAGACTCTCTAGCCTTATCTCTCATCCCTCCTTACACATCATCTTCCAACTACAGTGAACTACTGGCCACTCCCCAAATGTACCCCTGGTTCTTATCTCAATGCCTTTGCTTGTGCTCTGTCTGAAATTCCCCAGCTACTTAAAAGCACTCAACTCATCTTTTCAAGCCTCCACTGAAGCATCTCCTCTTTTATAAAGCCTTTCAATAGATCCCTCCACTCCCAGGCCCTATAGAACTGACCCTTTTCTCCCCTATAGATAGTTCTATCACAGTCCATACAAAACTTCACTGCACTTATTTATTTAGATATTCATCTCCCCCTATTAGCCTATGAATATTTGAGGGTAAGGACTATTTTATGCTATCAATCCCTAGTGCCTAACATAGACCTTGGCAAGTAAAAGGCATTCAGTAAATGTTTGTTGAATGAATGGAGTAAGAATGAATGAACACATGAGTAACAGAATTTATACCTTGGACTCTAAGAGAATACCTTAGGAGACTTCTCCTTAATCCCAACAATGCTGCAACTGCTCCAAACATGTTTGGAATGTCTTTCTTGGAGTGGCTTTCAAAGCCACTTTTTGGACCATGCAAGACAGTTGCTCACTCTTTACTTTTAATTTAATGAAACTGTTTTCACCTCTATAATCTTGGACTACTCAGATGTTTTAGTTCCAAATAACATTGGATTAGCTTCTAAAAGCAAATTAATGTTTAAAATACATATGAAGATTTGCCATCATTGAAGAGATCCAAAAGACTGTGACTCAGGATCCAAGACAAGTGGCTTTTCCAAAATGCTTTGTGCGATGTCACAATCATTGGAAAGGATTTATAGCCTCTCAAGGTGACCACTGTGAAGGGAATGCTCAGTCTGCTATGAGATTTCTTGTATGTTTTCTAAAGAATGCTAGAACCACTAACTACTAGCATAGTGAAATCCAATACAGCTGATCTTGTAATCAGAGTGACAAATGTCTAAGAAACAGTTTTCGAATGATATCCCCTGTAAAAGTGCAACAACAAAAAAATCTATTCTACAATATCTTGAACAAGTGGACATCAGCATCTTGCCTGAATGCACCAGAGGCAAGTAGAAGTGGGAAAAACAGTGAACAAGGAGCCAGGGGTCTGTTCTAGCCCCACTCTGCTTCTAATCTGTATAACCTTGGGCACATCAGATCGTCTTCTAGGCCTCAGGGTTTTTTTCATAAAACAAAGTAATTAAAATAAATATCTGCGGACTCATTTAGTTCTAAAATAATCCTACTTTTCCTATTTTCCCCTCTCTCTGTATCCACCCAGCAGAGAAATTTGCATTTTAAAAGAGGAGCAATGTTAACCTCTAATAATGAAGGAGAGATTTATGAGTGGGATCAATCCTCATAATTAGTTGGGGGGAGGAAAAGATGATTTATGCAAATCATTTTTGCAGCAACTATCCACCCACACCTCATCTCTACTGCAATCAGAGCTAACTGGGGGCTCAATTAGAAATAATGAAAAGGAAAGTGGGATTCCAGAAACAGAAAAGACCTCCTGTTTTGCTATTTTAAGTTTTTAAAATTGTAAGCTCTTTGAAGGGCTGGGATATTGCCATTTGCATTCCTTTGCCTTCTCCACAGCACCTACAAGATGATCTGATAATAACTGTTCAATGAACATGTGTTGACTAACATCACTGTACTTCTTTATTTACACATCTATCTGCTCTACCAGACTGTGAAAGCTTTGAGAACAAGGGTCATGTCTTATTCCATCTTTGAATTCCCACTGTCTAACATAGGCTAGAAACACAGGCTGATGCATTTCAGCTTGTACTGTCACTCACTCGGTTATACAGTATTGGAGTGGCTGTGCTGTGGCAGTCACTATGCTAGGTGCTGGAGACACATAATACAGAAATACACAATCCCTGCTCTCAGGGAGCTCAGATTCTAATGGAGGAAAGAGATAATGAATAAGTAACAAATCAAATACTTCCCAGTTTTCACAGGTGCTCCAAAGAAACCCAGCAGGATGTGGAGCTAAATGCTATTGGGGGAAGTGCCCTCAATGGGAAGTGTGGGGAAAGTTATCTCTAAGGAGGTGGTATGTGGTTAGAACTGGGCAATGTGGGTGGACAGATGACCCATTTAGGAAAAGCAGCCAGGAATGGGGGACAGGGATGGGGAGTTGAACATTTCTCCCTAAGGCAGGATATGCCCCCAAGTGCCCTGGAATAAGCTCTCAGCCCTGTACCAGAGCAGTTAGGAAATTACTGTGGAGCAATGTTATCTCAGGAAGTATGCAAAAAACCCCAAAACAACAACAGCGGCAGCAATAATAACAAAAACAAACCTTGCTGGTCTCCCCAAGCCATCCCTAAAATATCTCTGCTAAAATTACTCACTGACACCACCTCCACTTTCGTGGTACCCAAGCTCTCCATTAGATGTCGGCAGCAAGTTCACATTTTAAACCTCATGCTCAAGGCTTTCATCACTCCACCTCTGCCTTATGGCCACTGCTGCCCAAGCCCGTCTCTCATCAGCCCCGTTGTCTCCTTGCCACCTATCAACCACATATGGGAGGGCACAAGAAACACCATAAGGATACACAGTAACAGAGTTTCAGCACTGGGGAGACACAGATGGGGAACAACAGTGTCAGACAGACAAGCTGCAGCAGGCTCTGTGAGGTGGCTTCTTCAGTTCTGCTCTAAGAGTCCAATACTAGAAGTTCAAAGACCTACACCTCGTTCTGCCATCAACTTTTAAAAATGTTTCTATAGGCAAGCCACATTCCCCTATCAAAGCCTCTCTTTCTGAAAAATGAAGAGGGTAGAAGAGACTACATCTAACATCTCCTTCTATGCTTTGCTTCTCTAGAAATCAAGAGTTGAAGTGAAATCACTAGAAACTTTAGTAGGGAGAGTTGCAAACAGTGTCAAACTAAAAAACCTCATTTGCCATAATAAACAATGTTAACAGGAAGCATTGTGGGGTAGAATAATATATACTTTTTTTTTTTTGAGACAGAGTCTCACTGTGTTGCCCGGGCTAGAGTGCCGTGGCGTCATCCTAGCTCACAGCAACCTCAAACTCCTGGGCTCAAGCAATCCTTCTGCCTCAGCCTCCCGAGTAGCTGGGACTACAGGCATGCGCCACCATGCCCGGCTAATTTTTTCTATATATTTTTAGTTGTCTGATTAATTTCTCTCTATTTTTAGTAGAGCTCTTGCTCAGGCTGGTTTCGAACTCCTGAGCTCGAACAATCCGCCCGCCTCGGCCTCCCAGAGTGCTAGGATTACAGGCGTGAGCCACCGCGCCCGGCCAGAATAATACAGTTTTAAGGAGACGATGGGCTCAAACCCTGGTTCTGTGTACTAGACATCTCTTAGTGTTTGTTTCCCTGTCTAAAGAATAGGGATAAGAATAGAATCTGCCTCTTTGAGTTGTCATGAGAAATAAATAAGATAATCTATGTAAAGCACTCAGGACAACGTAAGCACTCAATAAAAATGACAATTATTACTATTAACAACACCACTGCTTACTGGGTCAGGCACTATACTAAGTTCTTCACCCGGGTTCCCCCTACGCTGCACCCAACAAATCAAAACTCTAGGCCTGGGGCCCAGGAACCTGTTTATGTAATAAGAGCCCCAGAGGATTCTGAGAACCAGCTGGATCTGGCAAACACTTCCCCCACTTCAGCATATCACAACGATTCAGTCACACCTTACCTAGTGCTTTGCAGATCTGTTTATCCAGAATTCTCAACAGGCATAACCTGGTACAGTGCTACTTTAAGACCACACTTAACTAACTCTAAATGGAATCTAGTCACCCTTCCCATGTACGATGTCACCCTAGCATTTCCAGAGTACATGCAATAAGCTCACAAACCAGTTTCCTAATTTATGTTTCCAAAAATAGAGTTCACGTATGACTGGTATGGAAGATCTTATGAGGGAGGTAGACTTTATTAATCACTTATTTCCCAAGAATCTTCTATTTTCACACAACAACATGGACCCTGGGACCATATTACCTATGATTTGTATCCCAGCTCTGCCACTGGCTAGTTTGTGATCATAGAGTATCATGGGGACAGGTTTGCACATCCCTGGGTCTAAGGGGAAGTAGGTAGCAGAGGGATGATGGAGCTGAGGCGAGGGGCTGAGGGTGGGTGGTGGTTCAGATGGACATGGGGCTATTCCTCTGAGCCTGAGCCATTTAAGCTCTATGTTTCCTAACTGTAAAATGGATTGACGAAAGTACCTACAGCGCTTACCTTATAGGGTTGTTATGAAAATTAAGTATACTATTATACAAAAGTAATGAGCTAGAATAAAAACCTGGCATATAATAAGCTTTATATAAGTATTAGCTACTATTGTTGCATTAGCCATGGCAAAAAGTACTAGTTTTCCATTTATGTATTTATTTAAAAGTTCCCTTTTAAATTAAGTTACAAAGTGAGTTGATTTTAAAAATAGATACAGTTGGCCAGGCACAGTGGCTCATGCCTGTAATCCCAGCACTTTGGGAGGCCAAGGTAAGAGGACTGCTTGAGACCAGGAGTTTGAGACCAGCCTAGGCAACATTAGTAGGACCCTATCTCTAGGAAATACTTTTTTTTTTTTTTTTTTG